GTAATTATACTTGCTCATCCTGCTACCAGCAACAACATGTCCAGTGTCAGCCAAGGGTTAACAAATTGTGCAGGAAGAAAACAATGGATTTCCTAAAAAAAAAAAAAAAATCTTTGAACTGTCTGTGAATAATAAAGGAGTCAACAATGCCTACTTTCCTGAAGCACTTTGAGATCTGTAAATTCAGGTTTACGTAAGAGTGTAAATATTATTATTTATTTAAGAGCTCTCACATTTCCCTTCACTTCTTCTCTTCCTCTTCCCCGTTACTTGTTTGTTGGGAAGATGCTATTTGCATTCATGAATATGTGTCCAAAATGGGAGGCAACAGCACAATGTGGAATATAAGATTGGTTGTAAGAGTGAACAGGGGCAGGGAGGAGAGGGGATGTGGGGTGGGGATGAGGTCAGGGGAGAGAGTATAAAAAGAGTAAGGAAAGGTTATCAAGAGGGGAATAATACTGGTTTTCTTTTGTGATTAAAAATTTCTTACCCCAAAGTGTCAGTAGATCTTAGTTTGGGGCTGAGGTTTTTTAATGGACATTTCTTAAACCTTTTAGTTAAACATACAAGACAAACAATAAAAGTTTAGAACAGCTATGATAAGAAAAGTTGTAAAAAATTATGTGGGCTTTAATTGTCAAAGCATGTGATACAATTCGTATTTTTAGCATTCTGGCTAAAATCAAATTCAGGGTACTGCTGGTGCTTTTTTTTTTCACACGTGCCATGTTTTAGTCTGTGCCTTTTTGACTGTCATTTATCCTTGCCATGTCCGTGCCATTTTCACTGACATTCACCCTGGGAGAGGGTAGGCAGCGCTTGCCACCTCGCTGCAGGGCTGGGCAGAGCTCCCCTGCGCCCAACCCACGGTCCCCCTGTGCCCCCAGGCTTTGGATGAGCAGTTCCTTGTATTTTGGTAAATGTTGAGAAGGGGTACTGGTATATGTTAGCAGCAAAACAGCAACTAAATAGGAAGTTAAATAACATATTTCAGGAAGAATAAAAACAGTTGTAATATGTGACTTTAATGGAAAACATAGCTATCATGGAGGATGTGAACCAAATAACCCCACTAACTTGTATCCCAAGGATGCATGTGTACTGACAAAAACATCTGAGGCATGGTTGTAATGAGAATAAACTGGTTCTATAGTGAAGGGGCTGCTCAATTATTTTAAGATCGAAACAGAGTTCCTTTTTCCTTTCAAACGCATCTATCTGTCTAGAACTGTTGGCCATAATATTCCTTCGAAAAACATGTCTTTCCTGTATTGAAATACGTCTTTTCCTTTTTATGTCTGAAAGCCCTTCCTGTAGTTTTTCACTCTGTGACTACTTCACCTCACATTTTATTTCCCCATTCTGTTCCTGGCCTTGGTTTTGTTGAATGCCACCTCTTTACAACTTTATTCATTACTCTGCTCTGGAGAGTTATGTTAACTACCGTAATTCCATTATTTTTTTGGTGTCATTTATGTGAGAAGTAATGTACAGTATTGTAATACAGAACCTTGTGATAGGAACCAGGTTCTTTACACATTAAACTAGGTGTTTTTCTATTGCTGTCAAAGTAGTCTTAGGAGTTCTTCTTTACAATTTCCAACTATAGGAGAATTATGGGGCCAAAATTTGTTCTGAGGATGCAATGCAGCCACACGCACCTAAAGCAGAAGAGTAGAGGATAGCTAAAGGCAGACAATTTCCTAGTAGACGTTGAATTTTCAAAGACAAATTTACACTTCTTAATGAAAATAAATTAATTAATCAACAAAGATACAGCATTTACATTCTGTCCAAAATCAAAGCATCCTATACAATGCCAGGGTCAGAGTCTGCTACAAATATCGATCCCCAGTAAATACCCAGCCGTATATCAATATGGAATTTAATTCACAAAACATATCTGACTGGGTATTTTCATTAATAAACCTCATTGCTAAAATGTTTACATGCAGAATGCTTTTCAGACAATACAGAAAGCCAGGGCTTAAATTATTCTGGTAACTGCACAAAGAAGGAAGGTGTTCTTCAGCTGAGTAAGGATAAACCCTTAACCAAATAACTGTTCTGCCTGTAATTTGTATTGAAATCAGCACTAGTCTCTCTCTTTAATGATCAGGGCTTTGTGTTTCACATATCTGAAAGAGGGAAGGCTAATTTACACTAAAGCTGTTTCTAAATGTAGACAATTATATTTGTTCAAGGTTTCTGAAGAAGTTAAAATGGACAATGTTGTTTCGAAATGATGGAAACAATACCAATTTTCTCCAGTAAAGAGCCATGTAGCTGCTTTCTAGCCCCCCAAAATCTCAAATGCACAGTAAATGTTTAGTTGTGCATTCTTTGGATTTGTGGAACATTGAAAATTAAATTAAACTGTAAGAGAGACAGTTGCTCTCATGATGTTAGCTGAGAGTCATGCTTATGCATGTTGTCTTTTGAAGCTGTGTCTACTAAAAGAGCAAACCTCATCATGTGAATATTACTGTTAGTAAATATACATCTTGGGCTGCTCTGATACTTTGCAGGATGGATGACCATTTCTTTTACTTCCCTTTAATTATTTTTACTTTAGTTATGACTTAGGTGCACTTGGTTTACTGCACTAGGGCATGGGTCTTAAAGGTGAATGGGGTTAACACTTGTACAGCAAGTATCCCTTTTGTGTGAGAGATCCGTAAGGGAGCTTGTGGCACAGATCTCTGTTATGCAGACATGTTTCTTGCCTGTGTTATAACTTCTTGCAACATACAGCAGCGACTGGACAGAGTTCACCTCTCACAGAATTTGCACATGCCAGGAATTTTAACTCGTTCTGAGTTTGAGACAACTTCTGCGGTTGCACCTTCTGCTAAATGCTAGACTACCACAGGTGCTGTTCCAAGTAGCTGCAGAGTAATCCAACACCTCTGTGACAGGAAATCAGGACCCTTGAAATTTGCTTGCTTGCTTTGTTTTATTAAATGTTCCCTATCCAAGAACATTTTTTTTAATTAGGTCCGTTGTTTCCAAGTAAACCCTAAAGGGTGAAGAAAGAACGTTGTGTTATTCTTCCTTAGCAGCACCATTTTTTGAATCTGTGCCGGATGCGTAAAAAGTGCTCTGGACTATCGGTTTTACTGTCCTGGTGTCCCCAGAAGAATTTCAGCCTCTTCTCCTCTGATCCTGAAGGAGGGAAAGGCTTCTGGGACAATTAATTGTCCGACCTTCATCCCTTGTGGCTAGCTCCTTATGGAGACTCTTCCAGGCTGACTCTGCATAAGGTCCACTCTGGACTTCCAAAGACAGGCTGTGGATTGCTTGCCTTTGTGTGACCAACTCCCTTTTCTTTCCTAAAGGTTTTTTTGGGGAATATGACAGGTCCGATCTAGGATTGTTGCCTTCCTAAAACATTACCATGCTTAGTGCACAGGATTGTGCTTAGCAAATCGAATGAGCAGCATTGGAATAAAAATGCTGTGGAGGGCGTCACCACGCACTGGCTGAGCCCTGACTGGGTACCTGGAATGTGCCCATCTTGTACCTTCTCACTGTCAGAGCTGGGTTTCACAAACAGTGACTCAGAAGAGAATAAGCCACATGTCAGAGAAACACAAAGATTCCCAGTTAAAAGCTTCGTCTTGTTTCCTACACATAGGGCATCAACAAAAAAATACTGGTTTTAGATGCAATGTCAAAGTACTCTTCTATTAAGAAAACTGAGTCTGTGAACCACCAAGGTGGACCTTGGGTCTATTTTCTGTCGCTTCTTTCCACTTTGGACTGTTTGCTTTGCGCAGAAGAACAATCAGTGTCCTTTCCATAGCCATCTCTGGCCAAACTGCAGCTGGGAAGGGCGAGGCAGGGCTGGCGCTTTCATCCTTGGGCTCCAACATCAGCTGTGCCCAGGGCAGTGGGGGGCGGTGGGGTCTACGGCAGCAGAGCCACCGCGGCCAGGGGAGGTGCTCGGTGGTTCTGCTGCCATGATGTGACGCTGCGTATGGGGCTGCGGAGGCTTTTACGATCACCACTTATTAAACATTTCTGACGCCAACGCAGGTGAAGAGTAAATTCTGACTCACAGCTCCAAAGGCTGGGCGTCTCTGCGGGACTGAAAGGTGCAAAAAGCAAGAGTTTTATTTTTCTAAGTTACTAAGTCACTAAGCTGCTGGGAGATATGACCGTGTACATGCAGACAAAGCATATCTGCTGATTAGGCTGCTGGTTTACAGATTATTTTCTCAGTATAAGTTGTCTGTTGAAACAGAAAAAAATTCTAAGACAATAAAGTTAAAGTGCCTAATGCAGTGTCCCCCCCAGCTCCCCATTAAACTCACCCATAGAACAGAAAGCAATGCTAGTGACTGCTTTGTCTAATCTGTAATACCATACTGTATCTATTGAATAACGTTCTATTTATCATATAACCTTCTTCCTTGCTAACATTCTGAATGTGATTACCAAAGATGTCCTTACAACTTTAAATCTCATTTAGAAGGAGAGCCACAGCCAAAATGCTAATGAGCTTGCCTTAATTGTAAACATTGAGCACTGATAAGAATGAAACTCCATCCTCTGTTCTCAAAGAAGTTCTTACGTGTTTCCTACTTACACCGCTTTTTATCTGATTCTCCTTCACTTCTGTTCTTAGGCAGATTAATAGGCACCTGAAACGACAAATAACAATACTACATCTTCTTCACACCCTTTTGACAGACTTCTGAGACTGCAAAATATTTTTGGAAAATTACTATTGGAAAAAAGATTACTGAATGATGAGGCGGATAGCAATTTTTCAGGCTGGAACAAACCATTCCCCAGCATTCACATGAACACATTACTAACTTGTACTTAAATGCTGATGGGACATTTTTTAGAATGCGATAAGTGTGAAATAGCCTGTAGTTTTTTCAGTCTCGGTTGCTGCCCACTCCTGCTAAAAAAAGGTTGATTGTGATCATTAAGTTGCAGGTAGGCAGTGCCTCTGGACTGTAAAATAGGAATGTTCGTGCGCAGTGATGAAAGCAAACTTTGCTCAACACCTGTCTATATATATTGCAGGTTTCAGTGGCTGCCCAGCTGATCCGTTCGCTCTGTTGTCTGGGAATAAAGAAGTGGTGAGTAAGAACAACTAAGACCAAGTTTTGTTTTCTTCTTTTTTGTACTTGTTTGTCTTGCTTATAAAGCCAAAGCTCTGCTTTTGCAGCTCAAGGAATGGCAAAAGAGAGCTAACCTGGGGAACTGGAGTGACATGTGAAATGTCATCCAGTTGTTAGCTTTTTCACCTTGTGTTCTTTCAACTGCATTTATGTTTTAAGGAAGTGATAAAAAAACGTGGTTCTGAAAACAAACTGTGCTACTTTTTGTCTGTAAATAACTAGATTTGTTTTTTTATGGAATATGATAAGGAAAAAAACATTTTATTAGCAGCTGTCAAAAAAACCAGAAATAACTGCCTATAGCATGAGAAAGTATTGCTTTAACTATTTTTTGGATTGAAAAGAAGTGAGATTTTAAGTCATAGTAATCAGTGGTACTGGATTCTGGAAAATGTCTAGGATTTGATTAATGAAACATTGGAAGGAAATACTGTCAGTTTGTGCGTTAGCATAGATAGTGTGTAAAGTCTGTGTGCTGCACTGTGGCTGTGTCAGGCTATGCTCGGTGGAAACATTTTCTTATGCTAATTCGGTTTGATATGCGGAGCTAAAGGGAATACATTAGTCTAACAGAGTTAGCTCAACTAATGTGGCAGTAGGCAGAAATCAACTGGTTTCTCAGTAACTTTTATTAGCAGCTCTTCCATTAGATCAGTAAGTCTTTTTAATGTCATTACCTTTTACTCTCTCAGTTCTTTACTATGCATTCTGTGTTCAGGAGTGGGTGGATATGCTGTATTTCCTTGTTGGTATTATTTTTTGTTTATTTGTTTTATTCTAAAAAAGTAATTGTTTTATTTAGATACCTAGTAGGCATTTCAAGTAGTTCACTGATGTTTCCTGCCTCTGGCTCCTCAGTGGTAGTGTCCGGTGCTTTGCTTGGTTGTGAATGCACAAATTAATGTTTGGAATTCATTTTCTCTCTGCACTTGCTTAGAAATTAGTCCTCTTTACTAATTTGTTTTACGTATGTTTTTAGTTTTTGCTATGTGTTGGATTCAAGCTTGTGAGCAATAAGTCTCAGGGATCCATACAATGCTCTTCTTTTTTTTAGCTTTCACATATCTGTTCTTTCCTTTACTGCTACATTAGTTGAAAGTTTACATCCTGGCTAAGCCTGATAACTTATCCAGAGAAAAAGCCCCAAGGAAGCAGCTGGTGCCAAAGCAGAGACAAGATTTGCTCCTAGCAAGGCTGAATCATTGCTGGTGTTTATCTAAGTCCTTGCCTGTTCTGTTGCACCTGGGGCTTTGTGGCTGCCAAGGAACAGGTTCTGGGGCAAAATTACCAGCTGATGTAAAGCTACTGAATAAATTTGTGCTGGCTGAGGATCTTTCCTTTGCTGTCTCTATGTAAGGTGCTTCTATGTTGGAAATTATATGCTTCGAGAGAAAAAGGACAATATTTCTCTAAACTGTGTATAAGAAGGATTGCTATGTAGCTTGGTATTTTCTCCTATGAAATATGTGTGGTAAATATTCATATTTACTAAGCCATATAATCAGATATCAGATTAGCTGGTAAATCCTTTTTTAACATTAAAAACCATATCATGGTGGTAAAGAAGAAGAAAGTGATATGGATTTTGTAGAAAAGCTGAGAGAGAAGGAGAGAGAGTGAGAGAGGGGAAAGCCTGGCTGAACCCAAAACTTGACTTGGAGCTGGTTAAGCAACCTGTAGGCACATGTATGGTCGTGTTGGTGGTTGTTGCAGCTATTACCAGCTGGTTTTGAAAATACTGCTATTTTCTCCAGTACTTTTGTTTCATCTTGGTTTGACTGGGTCTGTTCCCCTGGAGGTGAGATTTCTTTAAGGCTTACTGCTTCCTAGGTCTTATCTCAGGCACAACGTGAGCTGTCACGGGTGGAAAGGTACAAACAATACCATCCAGGCACATGCAAGTGGTAGTTCATACTCTCTGTGTTAAGTCCAGCAAAATAAATACATTTACAACTATTTCTGATTTAAAACTGTAAAGCACCGAGATTCTAGCTCTGCAACAGAGGCAATGCTGTTACAGTCCAATGAGTCACTGAGGAATGCAATATAGGGCAACTGCATTACACCTAGTGTTGCTTAGATAATTCCCCAGAGACTTTAACTCTTTGAAATGCTGCAGTGAGAGAGTCAGTATGGATATAAAAACCATGGGAGTCCACTTTGGTTTCGGCTTTCTCTCTTTCACATTTTATTTCAGCATTTGAATGCCATTGATTTCCATCTTTCTCCCTCTTAGGAGTGGGAGGTTTCGGTTTCTTTTGGAGTTAGAAAGGATGTCACATGTAGTTAGCATTTTCCGAAGGCGAGGAAAGACTATACCTACAACGGAAGGAGTACACATGACGGTGTGAGAGGATTTGCTGCGAGGTCCACCGAGACAGACTGGATTACAGTTTGCGCAGGCATTAGTTTGCAGACCTTTGCAATATGCATAGCATATTTTGACCTGCCACTTTCAGGAGGAAATCGGCTTCCATTTCAGCACAGCTCCCAACAGGTGGATACCCAAAGTGCCAATGCTTATCCGGACGTGAGCCCCATGACTACACCCTGGGTGCAGGCATCCTGGCCGGCGTCCTGGCAGCTAAGGCAGCAACTGGACACGTGGCGCTGAGACACCCGGGCTGGCATGGGGATGGGCAGAGCTCATCACTCCAGGCACCTCCTGCAGCAATTGTGGCTATCCTGACTTTGGACCTGGACCGGTGCATCCAGCTGAACGTAGCTCTTTGTTGCGGTGTGCATTGTCACCAGCTCATCCTCTTCCCGTTCTCTAACGTGTTCCTTCGCTGTGTAGTTGTGTCTTTGGTGTTCAAAAGTAAACCACTATTAGGGTTTTCATTGTCATTTGTATATTGCGTCAGTGATGCTCATCTTTTATACCGTGCCTGATGTCAGCCTTTCCAAAGGTGCATATGAGCTGCCAGGGCATGGTGCAGTTAGCTCTGTTGCCCCACTGCTCTGCTCCTTCGCAGCACCCAGATATTCTTCTGAGTATTTTCTCACTGTGTTAATGTCTGTATTTGCGCCAAGGAAGAATTCTTTGAAGGGAAAACTGCAGAATGTAGATTATCCTTGTAGCATGGTGATTAATTAACAGTAAGTAGCTGTGGCCAGGACTCTATCAAACAGAGTATCAAGTGGCTGTAAATTATCTCCTCAGCTGTTCCTCCTAACAAGAGTTGGTATCTGGAGAAAGCTGACAGCTTTAGTAGCACTTCAAGGATCTAGATGGTTCTACTTTCATCAGTCCTTGATACCAATCACATAGAATGGGCTGTTCTAGTAATACCTTTACAAACCGAAATGCACAAGGCAAATACTGTAAAGAACTCCAGTATTCAAGTCTGCCTTCCCAAATCAGAGGTTGACTAGGGCTCACATGAATAATTTTATGTACATACCTATTATAAAACTTCCTCCACAGAGGTGGTCAACTCTTATTCTATGATATTTAATGACATAAAGCAAAACCAACAATAATACATGACGTACCTGTGGGATCCTGAGCACCTCAGGAACATGGGAGATGCTTATTAGCAAAAAATTCCTTGCTGAATTCTTGAATGGGGAGAGTTTATTTGGGAGCCATAGAAGCTGTTTTTCTGCTGAAGTTTTCAAGCTCCAGTTTCTCCAGTGAATGTATCAGCTCAGTTTCCATACAGTAATCATGCAGACTGGATCCTTCATTTCCATGCTGAGTATAGCAGAAGAGCTGTAAAAGTACTGATGGCATCTCTGGGGTTGGTGGTGCCCAGCATATTCTGAGTCTCTCCATGGTGGGAATCTGTTGTCAATGCAACTTCACATCTGAATTTCCGTAGCATTTTCATGATTGCATTTCACTTAAGAAGCACTTCTGCTGAGCAGTTATTGTTTTTTAGAGCTCTTTAAGTGCTGATCATGTATAAATGAAACTCGTTTAACAAGACTGAGGTGTTTCGGCCTGGGTGGGGCTTGGAGGTTGTTCTGGCATGGGGGCGAATTTGCTCCAAGCAAATGGAAACCCTTGTTGAAACAAGCAAGAGTGATTTTCTTCCATCTGTTCTGAGATCTTTCTTTGTGTACCTTGGGAGCTGCTCTGGATCTTATGCCACAGATAAAAAATGTGTAAAAGCCTATGCTAATTGAATTGTAGAATAATTTTTCCTGCTAATGTGGAAGAGGAGATGCTCTTTTCTTTATGGAGTGCCAGAAAACAATACAGTAAGATACGAGGCATTTTGTCTCTGACATTTCCTTCCCAGCTAAAGGAGGAGAATGTGTGGCTTATTGACATGGGCAGGGACAAAATATTTTCACCATCAGCTACATAAAGGATTATGATTAAATGAATGATTAATTATACTCCCTTAGAGTGGCTGCTAAATGCAGGTGAACCTTGTTTATGGGAGCATGATACCAACTCTGACACTGACTTTTGGAGGCTGGGTGCAGGTGCCCTGTTTCTGAGGAGCATTGCAGGCAAATCTGCTCAACGATGTTCCAGCCACGTGGGTGCCAGATGTGGCGGCTGCCGGGCAGCTTTGCCCTCAGCACTGACCAACTCATGTGGCAGAGAGGGTGGAAGAGATAGACCCACAGGTGAAGCCTTTCTGGGTAGGGTTCAATTCTCCCATCCTTTCCATGCTGGCTGAGTTAACTAAGAACCTTACAAGCCTGGAACAGTAGAAGTATTATCATATGTTGCCTCAGCTCCCCATAGTAACCATCCCCCTCTTTCATGTCCGTCCCACTGGCTTCTGATATTGGTGAAGTAAATAAGAAGGACTCTTCAGATTTTGGTTCAAGGAACAGCTACCTCCTCCTCTTATGCCTGGGCTAGGTCTGTCACATGTGCTTGTACATGTGCCTGCAGGATAAGGCCATGTGTACTTTTAAAGTTAATATTACAATGAGTGTCAAATGTGCTCAAAAGGGGTCAGGAAGGAAAAGGTTCAGAGAGAGAGCCTACATGAGATGGGTGAGCCTGACCTTGCTGCCACTAACTCAGCTTCACTTGCAGCATCAGCTGTGAGTTACAGGCAAATATAGACCTGTAAATGGCCACGGCTGTCTAATTAAACTCTTGTTCAGTTGTTCAGCAAGCATCACTCTGGAGCTTGAAACTCTGGGGTCTTCCTCCACCTTGCCCAGGGTCATGTTGCCCTCCGTGTTTCCACGTGAATGAACCAGTAAAAGCAACAAGAAGACTGTGTTTAACAAATGTGCCCCAAACTAGGCAATGCTTTAGGAAAGAACTTTCTTTGCTAAGGTCTGTATATTGAATTACCAGTTTGGTAAAGGCAGTCAGTTAAATCCAGAAGGTGGAAGAAAGTAACAGTCCTCTGACTTTCAGCAAAAGCTGAAAGGAGATAAAATGAGTTAAAGAAAAGAAATGCCTAAGGTTTGAAAAGCAGAGGAATCTTTGCTTCATGACAGTTAAAAGTGAAAAAAATTACAAGTATGAAATGGAAATAATTTTTTTGATTGTGTACATTGCACATATAAAACAACTGTGTGATTTAAAAAAAATTTGAGAAATCCATTTCACAAATAAAGGAATAATTCATGAAGATTAGTAAAAAGCTGTGTTCAAGGACAAATTGCTTCCATTTCATTTCCATCTTTTTTGCTCTTAAATTTAACCGTATTTCTCACATACCCTGTTGTAAGTTGAATATTTTGACTACGTGCACATTTTAATCATCACTGCTTTGTTAGTCACAGATCATGGCTCCCTGGCCTGAGGTAGAAAAGCCTGAAACCAATAACTATATTGGAGACTCTTCCAAACAAAATCAGAACATGTCTGGGAAAGAAGGAGAAAATCACAAAGGTAATGTGTGCTTACCTGTGAGTTACAGAGATATATACGTTTTGGGGCTTCTTGGAGAAGACGGACAGTAATTAAACCATTTTTTAAATGTTTTGTTTCATCAGGCAACGTGGCTTCACTTGGAAATAAAGGGGAAATTCAACCTGCATTTTCCACAATAGCCTTGATAGATGAGACAAGGCCGGAAGAAGATGACCCATGGGCTCTGCCAGAACTGCAGGACACTGGGGTCAAGTGGTCAGGTAGCCATTTCTCAATAAATAAGTTACCTCTATTTATTTTTTCTATCATTTCTGCTCTCTTTGCCTTGGTTATTTTTCTGAAATTATGTTTGCTGCAGAACTGAATTTTAAGATTTAAGGAATTTTCAGATGTAGGCCTTACACTCTGTCTCACCTTCCCCAGCATGAACTCAGTCAGTTAAGAAGAATCTGAAGATCATTCTGCTTACTTACCCTCCTTAAGAAACAAGGAGATATATGGAAAACAATCCAATACTAATATGGTTTTATGTCCAGGCTCCCATTGGTCTTTCTTTACTCAACAGGGTGACTGTATAAAACTGAGGGTCAATCTCAGACTTCATAAGGTTTTTATCATATACCAAAAGCTTTTACATGGTAAAACTAGGTAAACGAACTACCTGCTTCTGCAGTTAAAATTTGATTAAGAACATTCTTTCAGATTTAATCACACACTGGGGTTACCGCACTGTCTTTGACTCTGTAGTCTCTGCTTGTGCGCTAGACTGTTCCAGAGAGAACACCAGATACATCAAGCAAGTCTTTTATATATATTGTATTTTTTTTCAGAACTGGATAGAAAAGGAAAAATCATTCGTGTACTCTATGGGATAGGGAAGTTTATTATGCTACTTGGATTACTCTACTTGTTCGTGTGTTCTCTGGATGTACTGAGCTCTGCATTTCAACTGGTAGGAGGTATGGAAATGTCTAAAATATCAAGGACATACTATGAATAAGGCAGTAAATTTCATCCCAGTGACTAAATTACAAGTATCACTCTTCAAGAACATTCTCCATAGATTTATGTGTTGAGATATAGATTCAGAAGGAAGTAGCTCTGAGCAAAGACTGACCATCATTTGTTTGAAAGAGCCTTTGTTTCTCAAATTCCAAAGAGCTGTTGATGTAGGGATTATTGGCCCTGATTCCTTAGCAGGTTCCTCTTACTTTAGTGACAGTTTAAACAAATACATCTGTGCATAAATCTGTCCCATGTGAAAGACATTTCAACAAGGCGAAATATGAAAACTACTCTTGATCAAAGCATCCAACACTGAAATGTCCCCCAAGTCCTTCAAAGATGAAAACTATTGAAATATATTTTTTACATTTACCTATCTCCAAGGGTTGAATTCTGCTGTTGGATTCAGAAGTGTTTATCAGAGAAACGTATGAGTTTCTGTGGAGGTATTTTGGATTATTTGCAGCACAGAAAGCTGCATAAACAGAATTACTCAGGATTATTAAAATAGTTTTCCTTGACGCAGTAGCCAAAAATATCAAGGCAGTAATAGCATTTAAATCTATGCATGTGTGGTTTTTTTCCTATAGTCTTTACTTTGATGGCTGTGGTTTTACATGGTTCTCTGCAGAGGTCAGTAGAGCTTATTCAGTCACTGAAATGAGAGAATACAAAATATTCTCTAATAACTGAGAAGCTCAGAGTTCAGTACCTGAATTCGGATCCCTGGGCTACATCATTTTGTACATTTCTTGGCTGGCATGCATGGTTATATATGTATCAATTAAATGGTTGAATGATCTTTAATTAAACTCTCTGATAATTCCTACGGACTTTACCTTGCACTTCCCTTACTCTGAGGATATGTTTTTTGTAGGTAAAGCAGCGGGGGACATTTTTCAAGATGATTCAGTGCTGTCTAATCCTGTTGCGGGATTAGTGATTGGAGTTCTGGTGACTGTTATGGTCCAGAGCTCCAGCACTTCTTCATCCATTGTGGTCAGCATGGTGTCCTCCACATGTAAGTCTGCTTACAGTATCTTTCTGGAGATCACTCATAAACCTTGGTCTGGGGTGCAAACATTCCCACCTGTGTTCAAGTTGTAGAAGCTTTGGGTATAAGAGTAGAAACTGCAGGAAATGATTTTCACAGTTGTTGTCCTAATACAAAATAAAATTTTAAATAATAATAATAGTAGCGTAGTGGTACTAGTAAGGCCACAACTGCAGTGAAAATCATTGGAAGCCTTGGCATTGAATGCATTAATTTTGTAAGTATCTGCATACTTTTCTCATGTTAGTCAGTTACTGAACTCCATTTATTTCTGTGGCATCATTTCAAAATTCTGCACTAAGTAGGAAAATGCCAGGGAAACAAGATACTTTATCTTACTCTGGCTTTCTAAGACGTGGTGAAAAAGCCTAACCATGGGCTGCAGTTTCAGTGGGGATCACAGGACTACGGGAGTATCAAGTTCCCAGGGTCTTGATTAAAGCAAACATATCTGGATTGGAGCACCTAATCCCAGTGACATCAAGTGAAGTCAGGATTCCAGTGACATTAATAGATGTTAATTTTCATTGGAACAAAGAGCTTGCTGACGATCTGACTTTTTTATTCAATGCTTGCTTTTCTGCTTTCTAGTGCTGACTGTTCGATCAGCTATTCCTATCATAATGGGGGCAAATATTGGCACCTCAGTTACAAATACTATTGTGGCACTCATGCAAGCCGGGGACAGGAATGAATTTAGAAGGTATTGTACTTAAACACTAGATCTGAGAAGTTGCTTTTCTTCCTTCATTGTAGGTTTTCTGCTATATTCCTTATCACTACTACAGCCATTCAACCTTTCTATTGACCAAAATTTGAATGCCTAGTTAGGAAAGGCACAAGCATGACCATGGCCAAAGTACAATGCTGTCTAGATATATGGCTTCATATAGTTGAAGAAAAGCATATTGGGTTCCTTTAAAAGCTTTGTGTTTTTGTAAGAATCCACCATTTATAACTGTATCTTGCACAAGGTTAAATTTTCAACTGGACCCACCTTTGGTTACCTCTGGATTATGGAAGGGCTGTATAAGAAGTTAATATTACACTGTTTTGGTCTACTCTCCTTAAAAGAGACCTAAATGTGGAAGGTTTTTTAAGTCTACCAGTAAGAGCTGGTAACTGTAGAGAAATGAAGTGTTCTGGCTGTCAAATGTGATAACTTTTAGACTGCCACTTGACATTATCACTGAGAGACATCATGGCTTACTGGAGATGGGCAGTAAACCTGGGAGGGATATGAGACTTTGGTACCTTGTCGTTTATGGCATACCAGATGTATGAAATACACTCAGTCAAAGCTTATGAGCAAAGACTTGTGGCTCCTCAGGCTGTGGAAGAGAAGCTGGAAGGGAGCTGTACAGCAACAGTTTGCAAGAACTTGTGAGACAGTTGCAAAGAGCCATCTTCCACCACGAGTCAGGGGGAACAGATCCCAGAGGCAGTGCCTTGCTGAGGATTAAAAACGTACCAAAAATAGGTCAGAGGCAAAACAAATGTAGGCTGTACAGGCACTTCTTTCTTCAGACAAGTACTCTTGGGAGCCTCCTGTTAAGCATCGCTTTTGTCTTTTCTAGTTTGCCTTGTTTCACTGACCTGACTGGCTCTTTCACTCAGTCAACGATGTGGAGACAACTCAGTGCTCTATAGCAAAGTAGCCATCTTGAAATGGGCTTCATCCCCGCTTCTGTGATTTCATATGTAACTGATGTTATGTATGTGTTGTTTAATTAAAAGCATCTCTGTTTTTTTAATTTCTTCTCACAGGGCCTTTGCTGGGGCAACAATCCATGATTTCTTTAACTGGCTTGCTGTGTTTGCGCTGTTGCCCATTGAAGTTGTTTCTGGCTATCTTTACCATCTCACCAGTGCTATAGTTGAGTCCTTTCATCTTGAAAGTGGTGAGGATGCCCCTGAGCTACTAAAAGTTATCACAGACCCTTTTACAAAGCTCATCATTGAGGTAAGCTCTTTCTGTCTTCAAGGAAGCTGCTTACTTGGTTCAGTCACATCTGATCCAAATGCTCTGAGTATGGGGGGTCTCCCACTCACTTCTCTGCATCCTCGGGGTAAAGCTCATTAGCAGATGGATTCTTCTTTTTATTCACATTTCATAAAGCCCCAGCTCTGTATTTCCTGTTTCTACTTCCCCTGCATTTCACCTTAATGATGATAGACCTAGCTAGGAGGACTGGGAAGGCAGGTGAGGATAAATACAGCCACATGGGATGGATGGAATGGCAGCCTGTTGCCTAGATATTGACAGAAGTACTAGCTGAGACAACCCAGCACAACCAGAAGGTCTGCATAAAGACCTAAAGAGATGACACTGAAATTACGGGAAACTTGCACACATCTAGAGGGACAGCTGGAGGCCGGGGGGGGGGGGTGCGCACAGCTCCTAAAATGGCAGTAAATGCATTTAGGCAGCTGTGTCAGTGTAGATGTTTAAACAGAAAGGGTGAGATGAAGTGGTGGATGATTTGGGGAGAAAGAGACACAGTGTTTCTGTGCGTAGAGTTGTACCTTTTTCTGGGAGTAAACCCCCTCCTACCTGTTGAGCGGCAGCTCTAGCATTAGAGACGGTCATGCAGACTTTATGTGGTTGAGCTTTCAAAGGGAGTTATTTCAGTAGAGCTGAACAGAAGTGTGTGATGCAAGTTGAAATAATGCTGCTTTTTTTTCCTTCTTTTTTGTTTTCAAGCTTGATAAATCAGTAATAAATGCAATTGCTACAAATGATGAATCAGCAAAAAACAAAAGCCTGGTAAAGGTTTGGTGTGTAACTGAAACCAATGTGGTGAGTATCGCCCTAAATTCATTGTCAGGTTCCTCAGGAAATATATTACTTATCTGTAGCTGACACTCCTTGTCACAGGATTGTGAAATCAGATTTTTAAATGAGTATTTTGTTTTGCAACAGAAAAAGAATGAAAACAATTTAATGTACTGTTTGCTCCACTTAAAGCAAAGATGTCATAGCAGTGGTAAGCTTGGCCTGGTTGCTTTTGATACCATGCAGGCCCTTGCTTATCAGAACTGGTGGTTTGGACCCTTTTACTGCTTTCGCATCCAAATGCCTTTAAACTCTGATACTTCTAGCGACTCCCTAAAAGAAGAAAAAATCTGCAATATAGGCCAAAGAAAATATCTTTTTGCCCACCGTGTATCTATTGATCTAACCAGCTTTAGTCTTATATGTATTAGGGTGATGTGGTGGGAGCTGGTTATTTGCAGCTTTGATGGAAAACTGCCCTCGGAGAAAGCTTCTGTGGGGCTATGTCCCATTGCTCTTCACCCAAGCAACACTGCAGCTTGAAGGAATCTGTTGCCCAGATCGACACCACTGAGTATTTTGGTAAACTATGGAGCTGAGTGGTTTGCATTGTTCAGCTAACTAACAATTAGAGCATTAAATATCGCTTGGATCTTTAATTAGACTATGCTACTTGCTGGTATGTATAGAAAAGTAATTCCTGAAGTCCTGAGGCAGAAGATACTTAAGGACACAGAGCAGAGGTTAAAATTAAGGATTTTTAGAGGAGCCCAGCTCCTGTCAAATGACAGTCTGGATGGCCTGTGCAATGCTAGCGAGGGAGATGACAGCGCCAGGAGCAGAGCTATGCTAACATGAAATGCTGCTCAGGTTACGCTGCTGAGGAGCTGAGTATTTTGTCTCAGGGGAGCCATGATGCTAGGGCAGCTGTACTGCTTTCAGGGGCCCCAGCCCACACTTGTCTACCCCTTTGCCGCATTGCCTGGGCAGGCACAGCCTAACTCTTAGTGAGTTCTGAGCCTCTGAGTCCTACAGTCCCCCAGCTCTCCGAAGACAAGCAACTACATGGGAAGTGTTCAGTCAGCAAACTCTTCCTTAATCTGCATAAGGACTTACGGACCTAGCATCAGACTGCAATATGTCTGGGCTAGGAGCTCTTGTAAGGAAGGTTTTGTTCAGGTTCAGCTCAGTAATACTAATTCTGATCATAGTGCTAGTAATGAGCTCTTAGATAGCATTTGAGCTTTAAAAAGTAAAGTAGTAACAGCACTTCTATTTCCACAGACAGGAAAACTGAGGCACAGAATGGCAGTGTGAGCAGCTTGTGCTCATCCAGCAACAGAGGCTGCACTAGTATTGTAGTATTCTGAATCACAGTCCTTTGCAGTACTCACCAGACCATTAATTGCAGTCAAGATGACAGTAAAGAGGTCTTTCTTTGACCCACAGAAGCTGTGGCACTGGCTGGAGAAGGAATGCCACTTTTCCCCAGCTGCAGCCAGACATGAATGTCAATCTACAAACCTTGACATCAGTAGTTAAGGTTCTTAGCTACTACTGATGACTTGGTGCTGTGGTTGTTACAATGTAGAAAGTTTGGGGGATATTTTAATCTCTCAATGTGGTATTGATTGACTTGGGGAACAGCACAACCAGTTATTTTAAGAATGCAAAAAATTTTGCCTTATCATGAATGTGGTGCCAGCTCACACTCCAGCTCACAAATCTGCCTTTAGTTGATGAATGCTCGGTTGTAGTAAAAACCTAGAACTTTGCATGAGCTCTTAATGAAAGGTCATAGGTGACTGAACTATCTGCTTTGTCTGGCAATCTTTAGACACTGCAGAACATCACAATTCCACCTTCAGAAAACTGCACATTTCCTAACCTTTGCTGGACTGAAGGAAATGAGACGTGGACCATGAAGAATGTAACTGAAACAGAATATATCAGTAAATGTAAGTAGCAGAACTGTTTCTCCTTCAGTAATATCTTTACAAATGTATATAGCTTTCTAGTGGTGTTGACATACTACTTCAGAGATACATTGAGAGGCACTCGCCTGTATATGGACACAAGGTACTGCTGAAGGTGCAGCTGGTGCAGCCAGAGCAGCCTGTGCTCTGTTACAGCTACACAGCTGGAGTTACCAGCATCATCAGGATATCTGGCTGCAAATGGATCTCTTTCCATGATCCCTGATATCAGTAATCGAGGTCTTCAGTATCATGTCACCCTCGCTGTTCAGGTGACTTGGAGCTACAGTTACTCTTCTGTAATGGTTGCTTGTATATCTCCATCCCTATGCATGCCCTTCAGGACTTTCAACAGCCCTTCTCAGGCACACAGCCACCTCTGGGAAAAGCCAGTGCACCATCTGGCTCAGAGCACACCAAAATTTTCTCATGCTGTTGTATTCCTCTCCCTTGCACTTCCTTGTCACCCAGCTCCTGCATGCCCTTCAGGAGTGTCCACTGGGTATTTTGTAAGTTGTCCATACATGAACCCCTCTCAGGCATGGCTTTTGTGGAGCAAGGGAGATGTTGTTTTCACTCTTTGCATCACCCCCTCAAGCTGTGTGTGCTTTGGCCCCATTTTCTTAGGGGCATGTGTGAAAACCAGAGTGGGGCTTGGGATCAAAAGCAAAAATGTGGCCAGGCCAAATAATTTTACTTTTCTTTTTCAGGCCGGCATCTCTTTGCAGAGGCAAACCTGCCTGATCTTGCCATCGGTCTCATCCTTCTGGGTTTGTCCCTGCTTGTTCTCTGCTCCTGTTTGGTGATGATCGTTAAGCTATTAAACTCTGTGCTTAAAGGACAAGTGGCGAGCGTTATCAAGAAGACAATCAACACTGGTAATTGTCTGCTTTTCCTGAAGATTATGTTCAGGAATGACAAGGACACTGAGCACATTTATTGATATCTCTTTTTTCTGGCAGGTATTACAGAATAGTCTAAAGAAAACAGTATTAAACCGAATTTCCTTCCCCCTGCCACCCCCTCCTCCACCCCCCCCATTTTTTTTAGCATGTTATTTTCCTTCTTTTAAAAATCTATTTGTGAACAGCTTGCTTGAGAACTGCGGCGGATTAACAGCCACAGATACCAAAGTCCAGACTCTGTTTCTTGATGTATAATCATTAGCTGCTAGAAATGTAATGTTCCCATCTTCAAAAGATAGTGCTGAAGTGCTGAGATCATGATTGCCTGCTCTGGCACAGAGCCTGCATGTTTCTTCTAGAGTAAGTTGAGAAAAAAGTTTGCAGTGATTAATGATCTCATTCCCTTTGCTTGCCCTGTTTCACCTTAACCCTCTCTTCAATAGGATAAGGCAGCCCTGAATAGTGGTGCTTTCTGTCTTTCTCTGTGTTCTCCGGGTGTTTTTCAGCTTGGATCCATTGAGTGCAAATGTGGTGGGTTTTTTCCACTTCGCTGCTTTTTCATCGTCTTCCCTTCAATGGAGAGGTTAGAACCTGTAGCAGAGAAAAGCAGTCCTGGCATGTTTATGGTTGTGGTTGAAGAGAGGGTTCACAGAAATGGGGAAGGCAACAAAGTGGTCCCCATGCTGTTTTCTCTTCCCCTGGACAAAGAACACTGCCTGAATCAAAAACAAGGGATTGAAAGTAATCAGCTGCCAGTTACTGTTCATTTGTGACCTACTCTGTGTTCTTTTGTGTCTTCCCAATTAAGTCCTCACTTCTTGGCTCAATCATATATCTGCAGACTACAGGTGACCATTGTACCTAGTTTCACTAATCAATGTGATTAACTTTTCTTTACAAGAGTTAACAAGTGAATTTTTAAGTGATCTGCTTCAAACTAGCTAGAACAAACAACCCAAATTTCTCAGGATGGTCTTCAGAGCTTTCTGAAGATCTGACCCATGTAGTGGGTGCCTGACGGCTTAAACCAAGGCAGTCAAGACACCTAGAATGTTTAGTGTTGACCTCTGTGGAGACATTTCTGGTACCTAATTATATTACAACATAAATGCTACCCTGGGTAAGGACAAATGCCTACCTAGTCTAGTATTCATCTCAAAGTACACCCAGTGGCAGAAGGCTGGAGATGGAGTACAGCAAACAGGGTAAATTAGAGCAGTAGAACTAACTCTGACGCAAAATCATCATTTAAGAGACAATATGCAACCAATACATCTGCATTAGAAACGCTTTTCCTTGCTGTATTACTGTTACATAGAGCATTCTGTTATGCTAAAGACAATGTTCTCCCTCTATTTTTTTAGACTTCCCATTTCCTTTTACTTGGCTAGCTGGATACCTGGCTATGCTTGCAGGGGCTGGTATGACTTTCGTTGTCCAAAGTAGTTCTGTTTTCACATCTGCTATTACACCCCTTGTCGGTAAGTTGTCATTACTGTATTCTTTATCCCCATGTTTTACCTTCTTCATCATTCTGAAACCACACAATCCTATTTCTTTTCTCCTAGGCATTGGTGTTATAAGCATTGAGCGCTCTTATCCCCTTACCTTAGGAGCTAACATTGGCACAACCACAACAGCTATACTTGCAGCTTTAGCAAGTCCAGGGAGTACATTAAAATATTCATTACAGGTCAGTATAAACCAATACTTCCTTGAGTTCATTTAGAAGTTGCTACTTTTCTGAAGAAAAACCTGACAAAACTGGCTCTGATGCAAATATGCCACGGATGTCGTGCCTGATTTTGTGTGTGCTGTTAATGACAGCTCATTCATTTCAACTGCTAGAAGAAAATGCTTGCATTAACATGCCCAGACTGTCAATATATAGTAAAATCTTGCTTTCATAAACTGTGCTTGATCCAAATGAATTAATTCAGAACTGAGACAGGGTGGGCCACTTGACCCCTGAGCGTGGGGTCTGTGCAGCTTGGAATTCAGTGCCCTCATCTCTGACAGCCCTCTTAGGTAGTTGCCTATGAGGGTTACTAATTTCTGTAAGTTCCCTCCTCAGGACCCCAACTGTGTTCGTGCAGTGTACAGGGACTCCTGTAACCTAAGTGAAGGCTGTACAACCCTTAAGATGGCAAGCTGTCTACCTACCTGAGGTTGCAGTGAGCATCATGGCATCCATTTTCTCATTGTAAATCTAACCTGAGTGGGTTTTATTGAATTCCTTGTTACCTCAGACTATTTGGAAAGTAGGGAGCCCGGCTTTGGACTCCCATTTACCACTCGGTAAAGAACATTCCAGGCAGCAGATAACATTTGAATGAACCCTCTACATCAAAGAGTGAAAATATAATGAAGTTTCCTTTGTGAATAGGATGAATTTACTAGCAACAATAAATCAAGAAAATTACAGAATTCGTTTTGTTGTCCATAGGCATGATAGAACAGGTGTAATCATGAGAAGATACTATCTCGATCAAGCTCAGATTTCATGATAACTTGATATCTTTATAACGTACTTTAAAAATAAATTCCTGTACTTTCATATTTACTTTAGTCTGATAACAGTTGTACAATGAGTATAAGATAAGGTGGGCGGGGAATGTACCGTTTTGTTCAGTGTATGCTTATGCTGTCTAAGCAACTTCTGCAAGCTTTAGCAAGGTGTCTCTTCATGATAATTTTTTAAAAAACAATTTTGAAATATGTGAATCATATGATTATAAAAGACCCAGACAAAGTCACGTTCCAGGGATCTCCTCAGTATCTTATAAACTTTTAGCTAATTTTTGTAAAATCCAAGTTTGTACCATTAACAATTTCTCAAGAGCCTGTATGCAATATCTGATTTACCCTTCCCATCTTTTCACTGAAAACTTATGGATGCAGAACCCAACAATGAACAGTTCTCATGTGGTCCTCATGTCTTACTAACAACAGGACTGTTTCCTGGTAGCTGTTTGTTTTGTCAGCTTTATTTCTGATGGACTCCAGTTCTTGCAGTTGAAAGCTGCATTTTAAGACTTCTGCTTCTGCAGGGAGATATGCCATCCTCTCTAGGCTTGCCTTGTGTCCAAATGCTGTCCCCTCTTTGTAGGCAGCGATCTTTACAATGTGTGAGGTATTACCGAGTCCTTGCTTTGTGCTAGTGAAATAGCATGAAAGACAAGAAAAAACAGTGCAGAGCAAAGGAAGGGAAACTATGCAATCTTAGTGCCACTGGAAGTTATTCTCTCGTGGGTAGGAAAATTCAAAGGGATTTTAGCTAATGAACTTCTCAAATGTTTTTGCTTTCAGATTGCCTTGTGCCACTTTTTCTTCAATATCTCTGGGATTATTCTGTTTTACCCGCTACCTTTTACCCGGCTGCCAATCCGCATGTGCAAGACTTTGGGAAACATAACAGCCAAGTACAGATGGTTTGCTATATTTTATCTTCTCGTCTGCTTCTTTCTTTTGCCTTTGTTTGTATTTGGTCTGTCACTGGCAGGTTGGCCAGTCCTTTTGGGTGTTTGCCTTCCCCTGTTTGCTCTTTTTATTGCTGTGATTGTAATTAATGTTATGCAGTCGAAGCGACCACATTCACTGCCTGAGAAGCTTCAAAATTGGGATTTCCTACCCATCTGGCTGCACTCCCTAGAGCCCTGGGACAATATAATTATGTCTTCGCTCTCCTTCTGTGGGAAACACTGCTGCGGCTTCTGCAAGTGCTGCAAAGTCAGTGCAGAACAGGAGGGTGCCAAAGACAAGCAACTAAAAACTATGGAGGTTTATGAAAACACCATTGTGATGGCTGATGAAGAAAGAGGTGGAAGAAGGGCACCAGCTGCAGCTTGTGTTGAAAAAACAGGCACAAACAACACAGCCTTATAGTAGGGGATCAATCCATATTAGCAGAGATACAGCATAGGACAGTCAGGCTTTTGAAAACCACCTTGGACAATGCACTGAGGACAGAGTGAACATTTTGTTAGGTTCCTGCAGCCAGTGGTATATCACTCATCAAGGAATGGAGTCAAACAAGCTTGACAAAGTCCCTAGATGTGGTACCTTCATCCAATGCTATCAGTAGCAAACAAAAGAAATCCTCATGTAGTCCCATGAAGAGAGGGATGAAAGGAATGGTGATCAATTCAAACTTCATTAAAAAATAAACAAACAAAAAACCAAACAATGCACTTGTAGAACAGGCTTTCTGACCTACTGGCTTATTCAGCAGAAATTACTTTATAATATCTAAAAAGCTCTGGAAATGGGAAAAAAAAAAAAAAAAAAGAAAGAAGGAAAAAAAAAGAGGATCCTAATATCTTGATTGACCTGTTTGCAGCAGTCAAGATGGAAAACAGTAGTTTTCCCAGTATGGACAAAATTTATTCTATGTGTGTGAAGGAAAATGAAATGCTGGGACATCCTTCAGAAGCTCTGGGAGTCCTACTCTGGCATAAGGGTGTGCTCAAGCCCATTTAGAGCCTCTCTGTCTCCTTTACACCGGTGACAGGAGTTATATTCTTTTATTATCTCAAGCTAAAGGCCATAAAATTGCTGATCCCTTGCCTGCTGAAGGTTAAGCACTGGGTTTGGAGACACTGGGTGGCTACCAAGGGGCTTGACGGACTCAGGATATGGCTGTGTGGCCATTCCTCTCTCTAGGTGGTCCTCTCCAATCCTGTTCACCATGTAACCCCACAATCAGTGGAACGGTGCAGGAGGGAGGACAAGTAGCCAGTGCAGGGAAGGAGACAGCCCCCAAGCCTGGGCTGACACCAGGACATCTGTGCACCACTGTGGCTCCATTTGGCTGAGCCACAAAATGACGTTTCAGACTACTGGTGGAGACTGGCTTTAGAGCTACAAAAGAGGGAACCTGGAGAGCAGATTATGGGTAGCATGGGACATGCAATAACCTTTATTGGAGAGAAAGGACTGTTCACTCTGCACCATCACTTTGTGATCTGAACCACCCTCCTTGGAAATAATGTGAATTTTACTGGCAATTGTATGTAGCAAACCAAATCACAAATAAAATCATAAGTAGTGTAGTCACTACCATGCAACAATAGACAAACCATAGGTAGTGTAGCACTTGGTGGGAAGCTGCTTGAGCTCAAACCTTAGTGTTACTGATGTTTTAGTAAATCGTTGTGAGTCTGCTCTGAATGATGGGCTGACAAAAGGCACAATTTCAATGTCAGAAAAAGAACATTTCAAAGATGCACTGTGTACTTCTGCCGGCCTTCAACACCTTAGATATCAGCGATGTCCCGGATATGAGATAACATCTGAAGTCCAACCACTAACCTTAAAAAAGTCATGTGGCTTGGTGTAGGCCAATCGTCATTTAGAGCCAGTTTATGTGGCTGAGTTGTAGACTAAATTTGTAATGGAAATGCTGAGAAGACCCTTATTTTAACATAGCCACTCAGTGCTGCTAGAACACTTCTACTTCTGAATAGTTGTTTGTTTTCTACAGAGCTCTGGAATTCAGTGGGTTGAATTCAGGTATCAGGTAAATATGTACATTTCAGAAGTGAAAATTGATTTATTTTTTGAAGCTGACATTTAAACTGGCAAACCATGTTGCTGAAAATGTGTTTGTACATTGCATTCATCCAGCTGTTTCTGTAATTGTAAGCCAGTGACAAAATGCTTAAAATCAGAGTGAAATTCCCAAAGCATTCAGTTTTGGTATAGCTCTGCTGTTTTGGGGTTTAGTAGCAGTGACCAGAGTTATGCCAAACTGTTATTTTAAAAATTATTTTCCTTGTCCTTCTTGAAACAGAATTTTGTCAGCATCTCATTTTTAAAGCAGAATTTTGATATCTTCAATATTTCTTCATTTTATTCTCATAATTCTGGGTGCTTTCAGAATCTGTTTCTTTAAATCCCAGCATGAATTTCCCATGCTCTCTTTCTTCTGGAAAATATGAGAAAAATATCCAGAATTCTTTCCAAGTTATCTCAAGTTTCCATTGACCACCCATTGAAATCGGAAATGTTTCAAGCTACTTTTTCTCATTTCTTAAACAATGTGCACCTTATTTTGCATTTTGAAGTAAAGCCGTCAAGCACAGTAATAACAACTGTGGGAGAGCAGTTCTTACAAAAGAATCAGGGTAATCAGACATATCAGTACTTTATAGTTCCTCATTGTAACATTTCCCTTGTGATCCATTCAGTTCTTCCTCTCCTCTCTCCTTGCTCCAGGCCATATTGTGCCATTGTTTTAGGCAGATTCCAACAAAGATTTCTGTTTAACACTTCACAGCACAACGTGTCCTGGCATATTTTCCCCTCTACTTTTTCCAAAAGATATTTACACTTTATTTATAATTATTTGAGTGTACAGAATTTTTCATAAGTTATACAGAAAAAGTCTCGTGCTCGTGTTATATATTACGTATTTGAAAACTATGCAATGTTTATCTATAAAAATGTAAAAAGGACTACTGTATATTTTGTAATATAACTTTTCAAATGGTTCGTAACTGTGTATACTGAGTATTATGGAGGCTGTTGGCTCCATCAATAGGTTACATAAAGATTGTTAGCAATGCAGAGACAGATTTCTTAAAGTAAAGATGAAAAACACCTACATACTTTCATAATATGGCTTAATGGAGAAGGTTATTGAACTCTACTTTTCTAAAAGATTCGAATTTTCTGTAATGAGGAATTTTGGAAATACAAGGTTTCTAAAACACTTTTTTAAACTCTTAAACACTATATCTTTGAACTGTTTTGAGGACAGTACATGCCTTTATACTTTGTCATGAATATTCATCTTGTCTGTCCTCGTGCATTGAATGTAAAAATAAAGAGAAGTTTTAAAAAAATAAGATCTTTTCATAATATCTGTTTATACACATATCAAGGAAGCTTGCAGAAAAATAAGTATACAGACAAGTTCTAGCCTGAGCTTATGCAATGTACAAGAAATGAGGCTAGCATCAAGCACTAAAGAAAGCCACCAAAGGCTTCGACGTCCAACATTTTCATACGAACGAGAGATTTTCATATGGTGAAAAATAAAAAGAATTGCTCAGCGCAATTGTGTGGGTTAAGATATTTTCTGGCAGGGTTCTACAGGCTGTCCTCAGTGAAGGCAAGCGTGGGAGAGCAAAGCCAGGGCTGTTGCAATGACAGGATGCATGATGAGTTACAAGTGATCCGTATCACTGTGCGAGGCTCAGATTCCCTCTTCTACACGAAAGATGGCACACAGAGTGTTTCCAAAATGCTCCTTATACCCCATCACCTGAGTGATGTCTGGCTTATAATTGGGCAAAAATATCCATCTTATTCTTTTTTTAAATCACACGTGACCTATGGAGCTTAAAATTAAACAGCCAGGGAGAAATAAAAAGTACTCCTTCAATGCCTTAAAGATTACTAAAAAAAGTCATTAGACTTCCTAACTATGAGCTCAACAGTAGCTGAGGAACCAGCTCCCAAATCAACTGTCATTCCCAACTACTCCATATTTTAGTGAAAGGAAGATAGCAGAAGTATCTTTTATAACACAGATATTTATGCACTACAGTGTAAACTTTCTTCTAAAAATGCAGTAAGCAGTAAGCACCCTAGGCCCGTGATTTAAAACTTACAGCTTCTTACACCCATGCGGAAATACTGCAATTCTGCGTGCCATCACCCTCCATGACTCACTGCCCATCAGGAATCAAAACGCATCCAGGAAACACAGGTTGTGCCATCCATCTGTCCATTTCCAAGCTCTTTGCAGAGCTACCTAGGGCAAAGTTCAGCAATGCCTGTAGGTGTTTAACAGCAGACATGTCATGAAGTGCTGTACTGATCAGAAGCCTTCAAAACATTCAATTAGCTTCAGCTAATTGCCTAGTTGCTCCTGAGACTGGTCTCAGTTCTCTTCCTCTCTGCTTGTGACTTAACCACGTTGTTCACAGCTTCTTCTGGTGCTCCTGTGCTTTTTTACCCTCTGCTGAACTTTCACGTTCATTTCCCCCAGTTTCAAAGTCTTGATTATACTGCATTTAAGTGCACCAGGCCTACCACTATGAAGGGTTCTCATTAGTCAGAAATGCAGGTTAAATGCTTCATCAGCTCCTTCCTCAGCTTATTGTGTAGTGGTGGGCACCCAGTCAGGTCCCCAGGACAGCTGCTGGCCATGCCATTGGGAAAGGCTGGTCTCTGATTTACAGCAAATTGTTTGGGGGCGCAGACTGGTGTCGTACCATTGGCAGTAGCTTAACCAACACATGATAGTAAAGAGTCTGATCCAGTCAGTTAAAATTAAATAGTGAGTATACTAAGCAAATACCCACTATTTCAAGAGCTGCGTAGGGAGGATATACTCTATACACATACCAGGGAATGCCAGGCCGCACTTCAGTTGCATAATTTCAATAGGCTGTGCTCCCATACAAATGCTTTATCTGCATTCAGATGGGGGTTTTTCTCCAGCTAATGGCCAGTCCTGGTGTTGCCACATGCCAAAGGCATGACACTGTATGCATAAACCCACTCATGACATTTTTACAGTGAATTCTCTGTAAATCTTAGTCCCTTTATTACAATTCTACTACAAAGGAAACACATGATTCCTATGAGAGAGCTGAGTGTTTACTTTGCATACTGGACAGTAATTATATTGATTTTCATTGAGCTGTCCATAAGCAGGTTTCCCCTAACAATCGAGAGCTGAGTGTTTCAACAAGATTGAAACACTCAACAAGATGGAGAAACAGAGCGAAGGCTAGCATTAGTGTCACAAACATTCCGTCTTACTCAGCATCTGTTGAAATTCCCTAATTGCCATTTACACTTTTGGGGTGTATCAATCTTTTTACACGGCTCAATCTCTAAGGACACATTACCACAGCATAAACAATCAGGGTAATTACAGTAGAAGATATTTTGCAACCAACACCACAGTTGATAGATTGGGGGTTTTTTACACAATGCAAAAAGCATAAATTAATTACAGGACAGGCAAACAATTTATGGACCAAATGCTGCCCTCGGTGAAGCAACTTGCAACCATAATTGACATCAG